CTGGCCTCATTTCTTCACATTGCAACAGATTTCTTTGGATTTTGCCATCTTGATTGGAAATGCATATTCACAGCATTTCTTGCCCACGTCTTCGTTTTGTATTTGTGCAAAGTTAACTTTGAGGACCGAAAAAGAGTCACAGTAACTAAGCCGGCACTTGCCCACAGCACACAAATGTAAGTGCCTGTTCACGACACCCAGCCTCCCTAAAATAATTCACAAGAGAGCCATTACTTGGCCCCTGGGGCAAGGGTTGTGCCTGCTTCTGTAATTAAGTCAGGTTTATGGGTGCACAGTTGTGCCCATTCTTTTAGACACTGTGTGCTTCCATGCTCCAAAGGCAGAGCTGAGAACTTGGGACATGGAGACTGTCTGTATGGCCCACAAGACTGAAATATTACTATCTTGCCCTTTACCAGAAAGCTTGCACACCAGCTTCTAGAAGAATAATACCTTGACGAATAGCACCAAAGTAAGCCTTGGTGTTAAAGTCTGTGCTGACTTTTACTGTCCCCAGCTTGCTCTTTTCTGGTGGTCCCCAGCTTGCTCTCTCTTCTTGGCTTAGACATAATTAAATTAGGCTTGAGTTGTCCAGACCCATCGCTGTGCTGTCAGTGATTTCATTAAAATATAACGAAGTTTATTTAGTCTCTCACTCTTACTGTTTGTGATGTCAGAAAACTCTAATGATTGAAAATTGGGTTGGAGGGAGTCCACATGAGGATGTTTGCTGGTTCTTAGGAGAATTTGGAGTTGACTAGACCCTGGTTGGCTGGATTCTCCATTAAGGTCCCTCTGATTGGCTAGTAGCCAAAACAGATCCCCAAATGCACAGCTTGCTCTTGAACTCTGATGAGAAGGGATTCTGTGGGAACTGTTGGAGACTTGCCGGCTGTGAGAGGGAAGTTAGTGCACGGGAATGTGGGCCAGACTCCTGGGGCTAAAGGACCTTGTTGACCAGGAAGGCTGGGTTCTCAGTACCCGCGACAGTCCGACATGCTAAAGTCGTGTGTCCTGGAAGTGACTTGTGACAGAGCCTCTAGGAGGGCAGACATGCGTCTGGAAGCACAAGAACGACAACTTTGTAGTTTTTATAAAAAAGATACATACATAGATTTATAAAAAGTTCATGCGATGCAGAAAAGCCTACAGAAGAAAATGATTTTAAAAATCAAGCAATAGTATGGGAATAGGTCAAGAAATGGTAGACAGCAAAGAACAAGTCTCTTTTTTTGGCGGTGTGTGGGCCTCTCACTGTTGTGGCCTCTCCCATTGCGGAGCACAGGCTCTGGACGCGCAGGCTCAGCAGCCATGGCTCACGGGCCCAGCCGCTGCGCGGCATGTGGGATCTTCCCGGACCGGGGCCCGAACCCGTGTCCCCTGCATCAGCAGGCGGACTCTCAACCACTGCGCCACCAGGGAAGCCCAGAATAAGTCTTTTAACCTCTACTCCCTGGTTCTTCCCAGAAACCAGATTACCAGATACTTAACCTTCCGAAGATACTCACATCGTCTTTTATTTTATTTGTATTACTTTTTAAAATTTATTTATTTATTTATATTGTATTTTTGGCTGTGTTGGGTCTTTGTTTCTGCGTGCAGGCTTTCTCTAGTTGTGGCAAGCAGGGCTTTTCTTGTGGAGCACGGGCTCTAGGCACGCGGGCTTCAGTAGTTGTGGCATGCGGGCTCAGTAGTTGTGGCGCACAGGCTTAGTTGCTCCGCGGCACGTGCGATCTTCCCAGACCAGGGCTCGAACCCGTGTCCCCTGCATTGGCAGGCAGATTCTTAACCACTGCGCCACCAGGGAAGTCCCCACATCGTCTTTTAAATAGAAGCGTTCCAGTTTCCCTCGAATTTGGCAAACAGAACTAATAAAACTGCTGCTCCCTCACCACGGCAGACCCACCCCCTTAACCAGGGGCGCCCGTGTGCCAGGGGCCGCTGGGGCCGTGGGGCTGCACACACTTGGCCCACCTGTGTGCTGACCCGCCGTGGGGGCCAGGAGGTTTGCGGTGGGTTTGTTGCTGGAGCTCCTGCCGCCCCTCAGTCAGGATCTTGCATTTCTGTGGGTTTGTCGCCTGACTGCAGACCTGTTGCCCCGGCTTCCATTGTTGATGACTTTCCTCTGGTTCACATCTTCACTGGCTGGATTTTATCACCAAGTCATTTTTTTCTGGAAGCTCTTGGTTCCATACGTTCTTGAACCCACATGAGCATTAACCTGTTCCTCTGTGTGGGGAGAACTTGGCCTGATGGTGTCAGTGTCCAGGCAGAATGTCCCGCGTTGCTCCACCACATGCTGGCACCGAGTGTCACAGGGTCGCGCCACACCTGGTGGGGGAGGGAAAGCTGCCGGGCACTAAGGACTGGGGATGCAGAACCTGCTATTTAATCCCCGGGATTGGGGAGATGTGTTTATTATTGAACAGGTATCGGCCTTTCAAGTTTGGTCATAGTTGCTGGCAGTTCACTGAAACTAAGAAAATTCATTCTGGGACTTCCCTGGTGGCGCAGTGGTTAAGAATCCGCCTGCCAATGCAGGGGACACGGGTTCGAGCCCTGGTCCGGGAAGATCCCACATGCCGCGGAGCAACTAAGCCTGTGCGCCACAACTACTGAGCCCGTGCTCTAGAGCCTGTGCTCTGCGACAAGAGAAGCCACCTCAACGAGAAGCCCGCGCACTGCAACAAAGAGCAGCCCCCGCTCGTCACAACTAGAGAAAGCCCGCACAGCAACGAAGACCCAACGCAGCCAAAAATAAATAAATGTTTTAAAATATAACAAAATATACAAAGTATTCTTAAAACTCAGCAGTAGAAAACAACAACAAAAAACAGAAAAGAAAATTAAGGTTTTGAAAGTCAGTGATCTGTCTGTACCTAGGAACAAGCAGGTGATGAACCACAGTGACTAGCTTACCTAGTAACTAAGCCAGGTGTGTGCTGATTTTTCTTAGGGTGGTTCTGTCCTAGACTAGGAAATGTTGCCCCTTGTTGCAAGAACGTCTGTGATCTCTGGTGTAAGCGGTGCTGGAGAATCATGACTTAAATGCTAAAGTTCCACAGGGAATTCTTTTTAGTCAAATTAAGTAGCTGACTGCCTCTAGACGTCTCAGGTAATCACATAGTTCTATAAGCAGATACAAAAGTATTTATTGATATTTTCCTGTGGATGGGCTCTAAAAGCACTATTTAGTAGGCACTGAGTAACTGAGAATACAAAATAGTCTGTCAGAGTTGTATTTTCCATAACAGTACCTAAGGACCAAAAAAATTACTTAGCCAAGTAGTAATTAAACTTGACGAAGTCATGGTACTTCCGTTGTGGAGTAAATGGACGAAATTCCTAGTAATGGAGACTTGACGAGAATATGTTCCGTCATCAACATCATTGAGGGTCCCTGGGCTCTGTGCAGCCCTGCCATGGGGCGGGGGGTAGGGGGTGGTCCTTGTGTCCATCCAGGTGAGGAGGGAGGCTCCAAGCACTGCAGCGACTTGGCCACGCCAAGCAGCTGGAAGCTGTCAGAACTGGGCTTAAGAGTCCTCACACCCTGATTCCAAAGCCCACCATCTCTGGGATTGAAGTGAGGCGTGTTTAATTTCCTGCCCTCAGCTGTACACCACCGTCTCTTATGCTTCGTGCCAAGGTGGCTGACCTGGTGTCCCTCGGCCAGGAGGCCGCACCCTTCGGTTTGGGTTCAGGTCCTGACTTCACCTCTCTGTGTATGTGTCTCTCTGTCTGTGACATAACCGTCGGAGTGCCTGCGTCGTGAGGCTACAGGGGGCCAGGGCAGCCCAGCCCCTGCAGAACCCAGTCTGGAGGGAGTTCATGTGTGTGTCCTGTGTTGTGATCAGAAGTGACCATGCCACCTGCAGGAGGGGGCACGCCTGGGCCACTCCCCCGCAGGCCGGGACACCCCTACTCCTCTTGTCACATCTTTTCCTGTTTCTTGATTTCTTTCCACATTTTGTTGAAATACTCCTCAGATCATTGTTTCATTGAAGATGCGCAAGCAGTACTTTTCCCAGACTCTTGCGTTTATACGTTCTTCTGACTTTACACTTTGTTGATAGTGGAATCCTAAGGTGAAACTCCGTTCTTCTTAGAATTCGAAACGTGTTTTGTTTGGGGAAGTTCTTAGCGCCCAGGATGTAGAAGTATGGCCTTGGTGCTCTACCTGGTGGGGCCTCAGTTTGCACACTTGTGTTTTCTTTCAGCTCTAGTTTTGTTTTCAATTGACTATTTTTTCTCAGTTGCCTGTATTCTTTGCCTTTCAAATTCCTGCCTGGCAGATTTTCTCATTTTCTGTTTTCTCTGTGCTGGTTCTGTTCAGACGCTTCCTAAATTGTGCCTTCTCTGTGCTCTGGCCTTCAGCCGTTTCAGGCATATCGTTGCACCCGTCTGCTTCGTTGACAACTTCACTGCTCGGATAGTGATTTCCAGAGACTGTCTTATCCTTCTGTGCCCCTTTTTCTTCACAGCTTAGTGTAATCTCAGTCTCTGAGGACAGCAGAACTATTGTTTAAGGCAGTTTTAGGTTTACACAGAAATTGAGGAGAATGTACAGAGAGTTCCCTTATACTCCCTGCCCGCCCCAATCTTACAGTTTATTAGCATTGGTGTGGTACATTGTTTGGAGTGATGCTCCAACATTGATACAGAGTAACTCAAGTCTGTAGTTTACATCAGGGCTCACTCTTGGTGTTGCACATTCTGTGGGGTTTTTCAGACGTATAATGACATGTATCTGCAGTTGTAGTATCAGAATAGTTTCACTGCCCTAAAAATCCTCTGTGCTCTGCCTGTTCATCCCTCCCTCTCCCAGCCTCTGGCAAACACTGATCTTTTTCCTGTCTCCATAGTTTTGTCTTTTCCAGAATGTCAGAGTTGGAATCATATAGTCTGTAGCTTTTTCAGATTGGCTTCTTTCACTTAAATGCATTTAAGGTTCTTCCATGTCTTTTCATGGAAAACACAAGTTTGCTGAATAATATTCCACTGTCCGGGTGCACCACAGTTTATTTGTCCGTCACCTGGCTGCTTCTGAGTTTTGGCAGCTCTGAATACATCAGCTTATTTTTAAGCAGTAGTGCAATCACGTATGGATTATTAGATCAGTAATGAGTTTAGGAGTTATGTCCGTCCTCTTTTCTTTGAACTGCATGTTATTTAGAACTGTATCGCTTAATATTTAAACACCTGAGGTTTTCATAGATCTTTTCCTTTTGGGTCTCTAATCTGTTAGGGTTGGGGACATACTGTGTATGATTTCAGTCCACTTAAATTTGTTAAAACTTGTTTTATGGCCCATCATGTGGTATGTCTTCGTGATTTTTAAAGTGTAAGTTCTGTGGATGTGGGTGTCGTAGAGGTAATCGGGTCATGGTGGTTGATAGCGTTCTTTAGGTTGTCGGTATTTTTCCTGATTTTTTGTGTGTGTGTCCTGTCAGTTTCTGAGAGAGGGGTGTTAAGATTTTTGTGACTGTGAAGTTGTCTGCTTCTCCCCTTATTTCGGTCAGCGCTTGCTTCATGTATTTTGAGGCTCTGTTTTTAAAGTGTCTCTCGCAGACAGTATCTAGTTGGGTCTTGCATTTTTTTTATCCATTTTGACAATCTCTTCCTCTTAATGGAGTTTTTAGTCTACAGAGATTCATTTTCATTTTCCCTTCAGCTTTCTAGCTTTGCCTCCCTACGTCTTTATTTAGAGGTTGCCCAAGGGATTACAAAACACACACTTAAATTTTATCTGTAGTTTTTGATGTCTCCTCTGCGTTCTCCTCGTAGACTAGGCTGCCATGGCAGACCAGAGACAGCGCTCCCTCTCTACCTCTGGGGAATCCCTGTACCACGTTCTGGGGCTGGACAAGAATGCAACCTCGGATGACATTAAGAAGTCCTACCGGTAAGAGGCCTGGGCCCGGGGCGGGCCGCTCCCACCCCTCCTGTCTTTTATCTGCGCGTGTTTCCCCGGCCTACTCGCTGTTTCACTGGTAGCCCTTCCGCTGCATCTTTGTGTGTGTAGTGTGTCCCCCGTATAGCTTACGATTATTACCTTAATGTTTTCTTGGCAACGAAAACAAAGCAATAGCAGTGTGTGGGTCATGCACACTCCCTACCCTGGAGCGGACGGCTCGGGGGGGCAGGCCTGGATGTGCTGAGCTGTGGTGGCAGGGCCTCCACCCCCCGGGGGAGCCTTCCCACATGGCTGAGCTTGCCCTTCCCCTGCGGTGTCCCTGAGCAGCTGCCAGAGACCGACACTGTCGGCGGTGCAGACAGTTGACGCAGTCCTCTGTGTCCTCAGCTTATCTCCTTATCAGTACAATAGAATGCCTGTGCTGCGCGCTCCTTGCCTGTCCCTCCGTTTGGCAAGTGTACAGTCAGGACGCTAGAGGGCAGCAGCGGGGCTGGAAGTTCTTGGGAGTGCCCGCAGGTCAGCTCTCACCCGAGCGCTTGCTGCTCTGTGGATGGTTCAGCACGGGAGGTTTGCCCTGAGACAATTGCAGAGATTGCTGTTGAGCCTGGCATTCTCTAGTCCTGTGGCCGGCTGGAAAGGGAGGTGGTGACGGGTCAATGTTCCTCTGCTGGCCCTCCATCCCGGTGGATGAGCGTGAGACGTGAGACCAACAGATGGTTTTGGTTTGCAGGAAGCTGGCCTTGAAATATCACCCTGACAAGAACCCAGATAACCCAGAGGCCGCAGACAAGTTTAAGGAGATCAACAACGCCCACGCCATCCTGACGGACTGCACGAAAAGAAACATCTACGACAAGTACGGCTCGCTGGGGCTCTACGTGGCCGAGCAGTTCGGGGAGGAGAACGTGAACACCTACTTCGTGCTCTCCAGCTGGTGGGCCAAGGTGAGGGCGCGGCTCCCACTCTCGCATCCCGCCAGGTGGGTCAGGGCACGTGGCGGGCTCCTCGTCCCGTACACACGGGCAAAGGCCCGGTCGCAGCAGGCTGCAGCTGGCCCGTGGCCTGCCTGCGTCCAGCCCACGCGCACAGAGCGAGGTCTGTGCCGAGTGGTGATGTCCACAGCATTTTCTTCCGTGAGTCACTGTGGTAGAAATAGGAAATGAACTTTGTCATCACTTTGTGGATAGATTTATTTTTGTGATTAGGGAAAACTTGTTAGAAATATCTAGCTTGAGAAACCTCTGAAAGAAATATTATTGTTTCATATTGTAACATTACCTGGTTTCCTGATTCTATCCAAAGCATCTGTCGTGTGAGGCCCGAGGGTGTGGCTCACTGCAGGGCGCTGAGCTGTCGGCAGCCGGTCTGGCAGCGGCCAGTCAGCCCTCCTCCCCTCTCAGGAGTTACCCTTCTTTACGCAGCTGGTCTCCTCCTTCCTGCCCTCCTGTCCCCGTGTTCGGTGCTTTCTTTATTCTCCTTGATCTGGAAACGAGTCCACTGCTGGTGTGAGGACCCTGTGTGACTCTGGCGGGGGTCGGGGGTGGGCGCAGGGTGAGAGCTGCATCCCGGCCTCGCCGCACAGCCACGTCCCCTTGCCCGCAGGCCCTGTTTGTGTTCTGCGGGCTCCTCACCTGCTGCTACTGCTGCTGCTGCCTCTGCTGCTGCTTCAACTGCTGCTGCGGGAAGTGCAAGCCCAAGGCGCCGGAGGGCGAGGAGACCGAGTTCTACGTGTCCCCCGAGGACCTGGAAGCGCAGCTGCAGTCCGACGAGAGGGGTGAGTGTGCCCGCCGCCCGGGGCGCGCGTGAGGGGCGGGGCCGGAGCGGGCCCTGAACGTGTCGCCCTGTCTCGTCAAACAGGAGGGCACTGACACTGTGCGGGAGTGTTTGTGGTGGCGGCGGGACGGTTGAGGTGTGAACGTGGACGCCGGAGGTAAAGCAGGCGCGGAGGGCTGTCCCCGCCGCGGACTGTGGTAGCTGAGTAGGCGGGGAGGGCCGAGGGCCGAGGCCGCTGACGAAGGTCGAAGGTCGTGTGGGGCGGAGGTCCTGGCAGCCTCGCCCCGCCCTGGGCGCTTGTCTTACGACCTCCGACCCCCGTCAAGCCACCAGGTGGCCGAGCGTGTCGCCCAGAGACGGTGTCGGGGGCCCGAGAGGCCCACCGGCCCGACCTGAGGCCGCGCGTCGCTTGCTTTCAGAGGCCGCAGACACGCCGATCGTCGTCCAGCCGGCGTCCGCCACGGAGACCACCCAGCTCACAGCCGACTCCCACCCCAGCTATCACACCGATGGGTTCAACTAAATTCAGGAGAAGCTGTGATTCGAGGGTCAGTCAGCACCCAGCCACTCGACCTTAGAATCACGGACTGTAGTCCCAGAGGTGGGGCGGGAGCCGCCCTGGCCCCGGGAGGCAGCGCCAGCCCGCCTCTGTGCCCGCCCACCCGCCGGTCCCTGACGCGCGAAGTGCGCAGCATGCAGCGTTTAAAGCAGTTCAGCTGCGGTCGTCTTCTTCTGTTGTCCCTTTAATAGCATGTGCAGGCTTACGTTCCACGTCTGTCTGTATTGTGAGCGTGTTGCGGCCAGGCCGTATTCCCCGGACGTGGGGCCGCCTCAGGGCTCTCGGGCAGGTCGACGCAGCGGTCGGACGGCCCGTGTGGTCCCTCGCGGTCAGGCGGGCTCGGGCTCCGTTCCCCGTGCCCATGGGGGCCTGAGGCAGGTGCTGCCTGGCTGGAGCCGTGGGGTCTGCTCCCTGCCCCGTGCCTGCCAAGCATGTGGCCACAGGCAGGGCCTCTGGACTCACCTGCCAGGAAGGAGCTGGGCCCACTCTCCCAGCGCCGGGGCGTTTCTGTGGCTTCGTACCAGGGACAGTCTGTGCGGGACCCGTTCACCTCGTCTGCTTAGCCTGTAGCAGTTGTTTCTCATGTCTGACCTGAGGCCCCCGTGCTTCGAGTGTGTTCCCTCCCGGGGTGGGGACGTTCCCACACGTCCCCAGGCCATGAGCTGGATGGAAGGGGCCCCTTCCGCAGCCTCCACTCTCCCCTTCCCTGCATCGTCCCCCACATTCCTTCAGGCCCACCTGGCCTCTTGGTAATGCTCTTTGAACCTCTAAGAACCACAGATGGCAGCAGCGGCCCAATTAGCGGTGGTCAGAGGGGCTGGGAGTCCAGGCTGCCCGTGGCGAGTGGGCTGCACAGCCCTCCCCTCTGTGCTTCCCAGAGCTCTCACCCCCCCGCTTTCCTCCGACTGCTCCCTTTGGCTGTCGTTGATGGTTTGGGCAGAGCTAGAGATGTCAGGCTCACGGAGAAAGGACCAGCTGGACCAAAGGCACACTCAGGGCACAGGGTTGGGTCCCCAAGTGGCCCTGGTGCCCTTGGGCTCGTTAGCCCGCAGCCAGACCACATAAGCCCCGCTCACCTCTGTCCGTGCACCGCCTGTGGGCTGTTGGAAGCCAGTCTGTCTTGTCCGCGTCCAGACCTGTGGGTGGCCCCTGCTCTGAGGACTTGGAGACGTGGCTGTGCTGGGCCTGTGCCAGACCAGCACCTGCCCCGGGACCTGCGTGGCCCAAGTGGGTCTGGCATCCCATCATGCACCTCGCGACTGCTGGGCTCCTCCGGAATGTCCCGTAGGGAAGGCCGTGGGGCAGGGGCTGCACGCAAGGAGGTCAGACGCACCAGGACACCTTCCCGAGCCACTGACTACCACCACCCCACCCCAGCCCCGCCCAGGCCCCGGCTTGCCCACTGCCCTCACGGTGCTGTGTGGGGTGAGCGTCCGGCTCTGCAGGCACCAGGTCCGTGGGCACTTGTGGGTTCCGTTTTGTTTGGGGTTTTGCCCTTGAAAACAATCACGAAGACGGTCAGCAAGAGGGGAGGTCTGCGCTGATGTTAAATGAGGCATAATCTGCTGAGATCCGGCCTCTCAGAAGGACAAGAAATCCGTTGTTGGACCTGCCCTGGAGCAGGGAGGAGGCCAGACACTAGGACAGTCTTAGGTGCCAATCCCAGGCCAGCAAGAATTCAGCCTGAGAGCAGGCCCTAGTCGGCCTTCCTGACGTTTCTGGAAATAACTTTAGGAAATGAGTTGTTTTTCCCTAGAGTGGCCAAGCACGAAGTTCAGAGGTTGGGCTTCAGGTAGGCAGCCGCCTTCCACGGTGACTGTGTCATTGCTTCGTGGGCAGAAAACTCGGAGGCGCATCACGCAGGTCAGGGCGGATCTCTGCCGGGTGTCTTTTGGTTCCCGAATCTTTCTGATCGTCCACTGGAAACGTGATGCTCCCCTGGAGGCCCGAGGGGCAGGTCCGGAGGTTTGTTGAACCCCGTCTCCTGTAGAATTTGTAAAAACTAAATAAATCGCGACGGCGATGAGAACAATCCTCAAGGCGAAGCTGATGACTCCGCGAGGGCTGGGCACCCCGGGGCCAGGCGCAGGGCCTGGACCACGCCCCCGCACCTGACCCCGACACACGCCCACTCTGTTGATTTGGAGGCAGAAACCCTTTCAAAGACTTCCCTGTCTCTGCTTTCAGGCCCTCCCCCTGACTGAAGACCTAGGTCCCTGGTTGCATTTCCCTTTTCCTTGTGTGGCCCATCTGCTTCCCGGGTGAGCGGGGTGTTGTGTCTGGAGGGCCCCCTGTTCACGTGCGCGGAGGGGACAACCCTCTCCTGCTGTGGTGGGAACAGGAGCGCCTCGGCCCTCGCTCCAGGGCCCCCGAGGCCAGTGCCGGGTGCCCTGAGGCCCTGACAGCACTGCCCGCCTGTGGCCTGCCGGGAGCGTGGGAGAGGCTGCAGGGTGCAGACGGGAGCTGCCGCGCGTACATTTCTGTTTTCGCTTGGTGACGTGGTCTCTTGTCCTTTCTGGGCGTTTCTCTGTTTTCAACCTGCTGTAGACGTTACTGCTCGTGCGTGAGCTTTCCTACTTCTCCGACGAGTCGAGCAGCCAGCACCGCTGGGGCCCCTTAGGCGTGCTGTGTCCACAGGGCTCCTGCTTGGGGAGGTGCCCTGCCGGGACCATCTGGCGTATTCTAACCGCGGGCAGTCTGTTCCAGGGGAGCTTGTGCAGTGCCCGCTGGGGAGACGGGCAGCCTCCGTGGCACCTGGTGTGAGACCACCTGTGAGGGGGGCGGGCACCGGCTCGTGGGCTCTCCCTGGAGGGGCCCGGTCCGTTCTTCCCTGGCTCTCAGCACATCCCGCCAGGGGGACAGCGCGGGGGGCGGCGGTGGTGGTGAGGGGCGAGAAACAGTGACTGATGTCACTCCTTTCCCAGCGTTCTGAGCTGTGAGCCCGTGTGACACAGGACTCGCCTGTTTTGCTATTTTGGTTGTGATTCCTTCTCCTGTGGAATTGGCAAAAGCTACATTTTTACTGTCCTTTCAAGCACGGTTGGCGTCGTCTCTGCTGTAGGTGTGGGCAGTGTGTGTACATATGTGTATATGTATATATCACCCAGCGGCGTGAGCGCCGCCGTCCGGGGCAAAGCGACAGTACAATAAAAGTGGCTCCCAAACAGCCTCTGGTTTCTTGACGAGTCGGGGCAGGAGCAGGGGGTCTGGGCGAGCTCCTCTGCCAGGTGCACAGAAGGAAACAGCGGCCCTGTTGTGTCCCTGGAATCAGTGTGGACGGCAGGCCGGGCGCCTGAGCGCTGCCAGTGTCGGCTCCTCCAGGGTAGGGTGCAGGGCTGCCAAGGTCACACCCGTACCTGGGGGCTCACCTGACCCAGAGGTGAGCGGCTGGAAACCCCTCCCTCCCCTGAAACATTAAAACCAATTTTCTAAGCATCAGATACAATCAGTGACAAAGCCACGTTCAAAGGGGTCTCTGTTCTGACCCCAGATCCACCCTGGAGGGTCCCCGGGGAGGAAGCGGCTGAGCCTGGGGTCCTGTGGGCAGCAGCTTTTGGTGATTTTGTCTCCCTGGAAATAAGGGTGTTTCAGGGTGGGCGAGGGGAGCAGTTTACACTGAAACATGTATGCGTCATGGTTAGAAGCTAAATGCAGGCGCGTGGACCGCGATCGTCCGTGTGCTGCTGTGTCCTGCTGCTGGGACCGACCTCTGCCCTGAGCCCACGCACACACCTGGGGCTGGGCTGGAGGGTCACGGTGGTTTCCCATGGTGATGGTCTCTTATGTCTGAATGTTGACCTATGATAAAGATAACTTGTAAAAAATAAATGTTTTCACTGCAGACTGGGTGTATGTTTTATTTAATGATCCCTGCATAATCCTGCTTTAGGGGAGTCTTGCACTCTGGGGGCAGCTGACCTCGGCGGCCCTCCTGAGTCCTCTGGGGGCTGGGACCTCACTACCACCTGCCTGGTCTGAGTGTGGACAGACTCCCCTCCATTTTCTAAATACCACGACTGGGGTGAAGGAAGGAATGTTTGAGCTGGGAGAGCCACACGCCAAGGGCAGCTTGGACTGTGGGTCCTGGAGCCCTCCTGGGACACGGCCAGCAAGCCAGTGGCCAACAACCACTGGTCCCACTGTCCCCTCCTATCCACCCAGCTGACCGTCCTACCACCTCAGCCTCTGGGAACCATCCCTGCCGCCCTCAGACAGCGGCCCCTCCGTCCTGCTGCTCGTGAGCAGCTGTCTGGCCGGGTGAGCGGGGCTGCAGCTCTCCAGGAGAGCAGGCCAGTCCTGGGCGTGCCCTCAGCTGGCAGCACGAAGTCAGGAAGGGGCTACCGCAGAGGGCACCTGGCCAGCTCCTCCGCCCCTTGGGCAGCCCCGCCCACGTCCAGCTCCTATCCCTCTGCCTGCTCCACCCAGGGCATCAGCGTTCAGTATGCTCACGCCTGGACACCGCTGCCCCGTCTTCCTGGGTTGTCTCCAAGCTGCTGGTGACCCGGCCCTGCCCTCTGGCATCTCCCAGGCAGGGTCCGTCGTCCTATCTGGCCCCCAGGGAGTTCTGAGATTTACCTCCCCCCCATCACCTGGACGGCAGGGAGAGAGGAGCAGGGGACAGCCTGAGCACCACCACGGCCCCCCTGGACGTGGTGCAGGCAGGTGCCTTTGTGCCCATCTCCCACCTGAGACAAGCATCCACTCTTGGCCTCTTGCAGGAGGCGCCATCTCTGCCTCAGGGCGTGTATGTCCATGGGGTTTCACGTCCACCACGTGTGCCCTTCTGTACACATCGGGGTGCTCAGGCCCCGAGGACCCTGGCGTTCGGTGGGAGAGGCCACCCTAACCCAGGAGGCCCAGGGGTCTGGCTACCTCGCACTGCAGGGCTGTAGCGAGCAGGTGCCTCCAGAAACGCCAGGCCTGGCTGCAGGCGCCGCCTCCCACACCCCGGGGGGCGCTGGTCCCTCGTGCTTGTGCCCCCCTCGGGTGGGGCGCTGGGTCTTCCTTCTGTGTCCTTGCCCTTAGCGAAGGGCCTGGTGGAAATGATTTGAAAAAATCTAAACAGCCTAAAAATACTAAGAATTGTGTCACAAACACCTTGAAACTCTTTATTCGTACATAACAAATACGAAGTAGTTTAATTTAGGTTTCCCACAAAAGAAAACATGACAGTGAAGACCCATTTGTACCTCTCTCCCAGGCCCAGAGGTGGCCCACTAGGCACTTCAGCTCACTTCTGTTTGTGGTTTTAAACCCTGCCTACCAGTCTCAGCATCCATAAATAACACGTACCACTGATTTCTAAGATTTCATAAATTGTACAGCACTAAATCACTGTGAGTGTCCGTTTAGTGCAGGGTTTTTTTTTTTTTCTCAATCCATGTGGCTACATCTAGGTCTAGTTAATTTCTGTACAGGACATATCATATGAATTAAAAACACAAGTGGTTGGTGGTCTTGTTCATTGAGGACACAGGTGGGTTTTAGTTCCTGGCTGGTGAAGCAGAGCTGCACTGCCCTCGCCGGGGACCATCGCTGGGCAGGCGTCTGGAAGCCCTCCCTTGACTGGTGGCCCCAAATGCCCTGCACATCCACAGAGAGGAAGGCCCCCTTCCCGTCTCCCTGCCAGCCTTGTCGTCCTCACACGTTCTTCCTTATTTTCAGTATTTTCTGTCTGGGACACGGATAGAAATAGGACGTGATAACGTGACACCAACCCTTAATGATGCGCATTCAGGGTGGTGGGCAGCGGGACCTCCGCCCCTACTGGCCCTGGTTTAGGGGGACCGAGGGCCGCGGGCGTGGCTGAATGGCACTTCGGAAAGACTATCCGAAGTCCCCCCAATGCCCCTTGCCCTCCCGTGCCCAGTTCCGGGACCCTGGCTGAAGCTTCTGGCTGAAGTCGGGGTCGTCGGGGTCGCAGCGTGCGGGCAGGGTCCTAGGCGGACCTCCCGCCCCCCTTCCCCGCCCCACTCGCAGCACCACAAGGCAGCCCCGCCCGTGGGCGCGCGGGGCGTGGCCACGAGGAGGGGCGGGGGTCCGGCGCGCCTGGCGTCACCTGCCCGAGGGGAGAAGAGTCTCCCCGGTCGGGCTCCGGGCCCGAGGACGCCGTGTGGTCCGTCCCGGCGGGAGGAACCTATCGCTGTGGGGCGGCCCCTGCCCCTGGCGCGCCGGGCCGCCCACCCGCTCCAAGTCCCGGGGACTCGGCTCCCTCTGGCCTCAGGGAGACCCCCCCTGCTCGGACTCCCCAGAACTCCGGGGGGCCCCGAGGCAGCACCCGCGGCGCCTGAGACCGCGGCTCTCTCCAGCCCTGCCCACTCGGCCCTGGCCCTTTCCTTCCGGGCGCGTGGCCCCCAGTAGCCCTGGGCCGGGACACTCCGCTCGCGCTGGGACTGGGGTGGGGGGGGGCGTGGTGGCGGTTGGGGAGGGTCCAAGCCAGCGCCAGTCCCACCTCCGGACACGTGACGCCGGGGCGGTTCTCGGGCCCCTCAGTGGGCAGCCGATCGGTGACCAGGGGCGTCGGGGGCCCCGCGCGGGGAGTTAGGCCAGCCCGCCCACCGGGCAGTGCGGCCACCCCAGCGGATGTGTCGCTGCTGATATCGCCATAGCTCCCATCCCGGGGTCACAGACCTGGGTCCCCGTGAACCCCGTGCTAGCTGCCCTTTTCTTACCCTTCTAACCCAAGCACAGCTAAAACCCACCTGCTGCCCCTGCCCTGTTCCTTCACATCTGAATCCACGGCCCCCTCCCTTCCTGCTACCCACAAGCCCTCAGCTTGACCTCAGAGAGCCTGGAAGTCTCCCAGCTGCCCGCAGCATCTCTGGCTGCGTCGTGCCCCGGCCTGGCCCAGGAACCTGTACAGGTGCCCCTTCCTCGGCCTCACCCTGGAGCACTTAGGGCTGCGTCAGGGGGGGGCCCAGGATACAGGCGTCTTGTGGGTGCGTTCTGATGCCAGGTGGCCCATCGGTGACACCGTGACGGGCGGTGTCCTTGCCCAGGCGGTACCGACCCGCCAGATCCTTCTGCCGACTGCCCAAGTGCACGTGCCCCTCGCCCCGTGGCAGCTGCTGGGGGGGGGGGGGCGGCACCTCGCGGGCTGACGAACCTGAGATTGCCCCTGGATGCTCACCATTCTCAGGTTGGACAGTCCTGGAGGCACTGCCCAGGTGGCTGATGGGTCCTCAGCAGGCACGTTGCTGCTCTGGGCTCCTCACCCTGTGTCCCAGGAACTTCTGGACAAGTGAGGGAGGGGCTCCGGGTCTGCCTCCCGCCCCGTCCTGGCCCGGGCTCTGAGGCTGCAGGCTGCAGCTCCACCCTCAGCTTCTTCCTGCTAACCCGCCAACCCCTCGGCCTCTGTTGGGCCCACAGGAGCCCAGGTGCCCGGAAGGCAACACCAGGGGCTGCTAAGCAGTCCCAGCTGCCACACAGCCTGAGAGGTTTTCCCTGGGGGTGGGCTCCTGCGGCCCCGAAGGGCACCACCCAAGGTTTCTTCCCAAACGCGAAGACCCCGATGTTTCCAGCGGCTGTGCCGAGCCCTGTCCCCGGGACAGCCTTGGACCTCGGATCCTGGTCCTGTTTCTGGCACCAGGAGGGGCTGGAGGGATTGCCCCTTCCTCCCATTGGCACCCCGAAGACCCTCTGTCAGGGCTGTTTGGAAGGTGACCCACTTCTACCACCCCTTGGGGTCCTGGCAGGAAGTGGCCCAAGAACTCCCCTACCTCGTCTGTCTCTGATGAGGAACCGCAGCCTGAGCAGGCAGGGCTCGGCCCTAGGCCACCACCGACCCTCGAGAAGCGGAAGGAAGCCGTCCCACCCCCCGAGGCTGGTGGCTGAGTGAGGTGGGGGCCCTGAGCTGCATCACGCACACGTGTGTGTCTGGGGCCATGTGGCCATCTGCACATGCACGAGCACATGTGGGTCTGATTTCTTCTGTGGGAGCTGCTCATCCTCTAGCTGGACTCGGGGCCCCTCCCAGGACGACGACCTAGCTCTTGCCCAGCTCATCAACAACGGTTTGCCCCATTGCTCACCTGGGAAGAGCTGGCCAGACAGAAGGGCGTCAGCCGCATCACAGCACCTGAGCAGGGCCAGGCCTGCTGCAGCCTCCAGGCTCCAGGCACAGAGCGCAGGATGAACGAATGAGCCAACCAACCAACCAACGAATGGGGCCCTGGAGATATGGGGGAGGGTCCACTCACCAGGTTGGGGAGGAGAGGCCCCTCCTGCTGACCTCGGGGCTGTGTCACTCCTCTACCCTGGCGCCTGGCCACCTCTGGACAAGCTCCCGCCTTTATCTGCTGCCCTTGGCCTGGTCCCCACCCAGGGACTTCCTGTCCCCGCCCCATGACAAGCTTTTCCATGACATGGCCTTTGTGAGGTGAGGGGAAACCGAGGAGACCAGGAGGGCAGGAAAGGGCAAGAGCCAGGCCAGGAGGCGGAGGACGGGTGGGGGATGCTCCTGAGAGCTCACCCGCAGCAGCGGCGAATCAATGGGCATCAGGCTGTGGGGCCAGGCAGGCAGCACCCTCGCCGGTGCCCTTGCCCGGGAGCGGCGAAGGCAGGGCGGGATGTGGTTTCTGACCCTGGGCGGTGTGGCCGGCTCAGTGAGGCACCGGCCACATCCCCTGCAAGCGGGGTTCCTGCGAGGCCAGGGCCGGTTCCTCACTCCCTCCTCCAGCCCCGCCCACACCCATTTCCGCCCCGCCCCGCCCCCGCCGCGGACAAACACGTGCTGCGGGAGGGAAGTGGCTGTGGAGGCTGTTGACATCTTGTAAGACCCAGAGCCCCAGGCCCAGCTCTGTCCTCTCCTAAATCTGCACTGACCCTGGACGGTGAGAAAATCCAAGTGCAAGACCAGAAGCCCCTGTCCTGCTGCGGGGAAGGCGGGGGCCCAACCAGGACCCAGCGGAGGCCAGGCTCCTCAGTCCCTCTCTCTCCACAGTGGCCTCGCCGCTTGGGGACTGTGGCAGCCCTGGGGGCCACTCCCCAAGCCCAGGGCCCAGGCAGGACACCACTCCCGCACCCCAGCTAACCAGTCCCAGCTTAATTTTCAAGTTTTATTTTACAAAATGTTTAGACAAGGCACACCGGTAACACGTTTTTTAATTAAAATAAGTTAACACCTCTACCCTGTAAGCCCCGGGGAAGCAGGAGGGGTTGGGGGCGGGGAGGGCGGCTACCCCGCGGAGCCCCCTTCCTCCTCATCGCTGCCATCGGGGACGGCGTCAGTCCCGAAGTAGCGGTCGCCGAAGTTCCCTGGGGGAAGAAGCGGGTCCTTGTGGCGGGGGCTCAGGCCCACCTGCCCCCCCCCCCCAGCTGTCACTGACAGGGCCGGGCAGCCTCACCTATGCCGGGGATGATGCGGAAGAGATCGTTGACGCGCTTGTCCACCGCTGTGGTGATGATTCTCACGCGCGGGAAGGCATAGGCCACCGAGTGGACGCCCATCTCCGCCATGAGCAGCGACAGCAGGAAGATCTTGTCCTCGGGCACGTCGTGGTCCTGCGCGGCGAGGGCGTGAGCTGGGCCCACCGCCCCCCTCCCGCCCACCGCCCCCCTCCCGCCCACTCACCAGCAGCACCCGCACCGCCATCATGGCCGCCGCGCCGGTGGACACTGTGCAGTCCATCAGGATCACGTGGTCGTCACTGATGTCTTTGGGGAGCCGCAGGTAGTGGAGCTGCAGGCAGCCACAGGGTCAGGGCGGCCCAAACCGAAGGCTGCACCTGGGCTCCCCGTGCCCCGCCCTCCCCCCACCGGACCCCCCCGTCCGCCAGGCCCCCCACCTCGGGCTCCCCGGTGAGCTGGTTGGTCTGGATGAGGATCGTGCCGATGCGCACGTCCTTGCACACGGCCCGCAGCGCAGGCTCCATGGTCTCACCGGCCCGCAGGATGGACACGCCTGTGATCTGGGGGGACGAGGCTGAGCTAGCCAGACCCCCGCCTTCCGGCCGCCCCAGTCCCTTGACGCCCAGGTCGGGCCCCTGGTACCTGCTTCCCCGCGTAGCACTTGCCCGAGTAGTCCTGGCCCTGCGGGGTCTGCACGACGCAGTCCTGCGCAAGGCGGGGGCGGGGCGTGAGCGCGAGGAGCCTCCCCTCCCCCCTACTCCCCCGGCCCCCTCCCTCCCCCCGCCCCGCACCTGGAAGGGCAGGAAGGAGAGCGCGTGCTCGATGAGCAGCCGCATCAGCCTCTTGGAGTAGAAGATGAACTCGTCGCGGCTGGTCTCCCGGTCCCTGCCAACGGCGGGCCCGGCTGGGTTAGCGAAGGTCGGCCCCGCCCGCCCGCCCGCCCGCCAGGCCGGGGGAGTGGGACGGGCCTCACCTGATGATGGTGTGCATGCCCCGCACCTGCGGCGTGCTCTTGAGGACGCTCAGCGTCCGGGGCAGGGGGTGGCACTGGTGCGCTGAGGCCAGCGCGGCCCTGGGGACACAAAGCGACTGGGGACTCAAGAAGGGGCATCTTCCCGCAGAGCCCCATCCTCCCGCCGCAGACTATAGGGGGCAGTCGTGGTGGGCACGGTGGGTGTGCAGGGTGGAGGCCACCCTCCCAGTGGCTGATCTGGAGGGAGGGCCCCATCCCGAGATGCCCTCCGCCGTAACAGCCAGGCAGTGGTTAAGAGACACGGTGGAAGGCAGAGCAGCTGACCGTTAGGCAGGAAGCAGGGGCTGCGGTGCGAGCCTCCCTTCCCGCTCCAGGTCCCCTCCCCGTTCAGGACCTGGCAGTGGGAGGGCGAGGCCTCACACGTGCAGATGAATCTTAGCCCCCAAGCTGGGCATCTGGACCCCAACCTCAGGACACCTCTCCCTGGGTAAACAGCTGAGCTTTGGGGCCAAGCCCCGCCTAAGGCTTCCCCCCAGGTGATGTGCGGCCCCCTCAGGAGAGGCGGGCAGAGCTGGCTTCGCACAGCCCCTGCTGCCCCAGCCTGGAGCGGGGTGGGGCGGGGAGGGGGGGGCGGGGAGGGGGGGGCGGGGCGGAGCCTGCAGAGCGCCGGGCACACCGCGCGCAGGCAGCACCACGGCCAGAGCACTCTGTCCTCACAGATCCCAGCGCAGCTTCCTCTGCCCACCACGTGAAGAGGCGAAGAGTAGGTCAGGGAGGGAACAGGGCAGGAGACCCCAGGGTTTACAAAGAAGAGGAAAAGAAGAGAGAGAAAAGACCACTTAGCGGGGAGCACGGTGGTCTCCGTGGCCACCGGCTGGCCTGGGGAAGGGAAGAGCAGGAGGCGGGGTTGGTGGCAGGGAGACCCTGCAGCCCGCGCCCCCGGGCCCGCGTGCACCCGAGAGTCCACTGCTTTCGGCCCTGCGGGTCCCTCCCTCCCACCCACCACAGCCACGCTTCCTGGAAACTTTTATTTCTCTGAAACAAGGCTCCCAGAGGACATGACTTGGCCAGACCCGCAGGTGCCCCGGGCCGGGTGAGAGGCAAGCGGAGACTCATGCGTGGGCAGGAAGCTGGAGGCCGGCGCCCGGGCCTGGAGGCATTTCCAATGCAGCTCGAGCTGGAGGCTCCGTCTGGTGCTTCCCAGCTCCGCCGACCACTGCGTGGGGACAGGCGCCCCATCCCTCTCGTGGGCAGGAAGGACGCGCAGCCCAGGACTCCTGGGGGCTCCTCCTGGCTCTCTGTGCCTCGGCTCCAGGGCCAGGGTGGGCCGGGGTGCCGGGATGCGGGGGGTGGGGTGCCTCAGCACCGCTTGGGGGAGTAAAGACCCGCCCCTCAGCTCAAGCAGAGAAGCTGCAGACCCAGGCCCTCTGGCTGCTGAAGGACAGGCCTGTGGCCACTGCCCTGGGGCACAGCGGCGCTGGCTCAGGACAGCTGTGCCCTCGGGTCCAATCCCACACAACCAGCCCCAAGTCGGGCAAGAGCCTGCAGAGAGGTCTGGCCAGCCTAGAGTCTGGGTGCTATGTGAACTTGGGCAAACACCTTAACCTCTCTGGGCCTTAATTCCCTTGACTACTGGCAAGGGCAGGTAGGAGCGGTGTGGCGGCCACCACACCACTCCTTCTGTGCCGGGGGTGGGTCCACCACAGGGGGTGGGCATGGTGGGAGGGGACCTCGCTGCCTGCCTGGGTGACAACCCAGACTCCGAGCTCCCTGTGGATGTTGGAAATGCCTCCGTCTGTGCAGACAGGTGTGGGAAGTCTTACCTGACACTGAGCTCACGCTGCGGCAGCGACACAGGGAGACACAAGGGAATGGGGTGGGGCATCAGTGATAGCAGCACTGCTCACCTCAAAGTCACCGGACGGCACGGCCTGTCGCCACCGTGTGCCTCAGCCAGCCAGGCCACCCCCACCCAGGAACAGACACACTGCAGCCCCGTAGCGGGAGAGTCCCAGGGGGCTGCCTGCCATGGGAGGGGGCCAGCTCCCTGTGGCCTCTGGCGTGGGCACCTCTGGGCTGGGCTGTCAGAGCCAGGACCCTTGGGGCTCTGTTCCGCAGGCCCCGAGCACCCCATCGTGAAGCCTGACCGAGGGGTGGGCGGCGCCCTCGGCCGGCCCGGGGTGTGTGACCTCCTAGGATGCTCAGGACGTGGGACTCAGCACCAGAACCCAACGGTGGCCCAAAAGGGTTTGGAGGGACAGGAGTGCACCCTTCCGTGCGAGGCCCAGCTCAGGCTGGGGGCGCTGGAGATACTCCGTGCCCCAAGGTCCCTCAGGGAGCCCAGCTGCCTCTGGCCGGCACACGACGGGGCAGTAAACGTGGGCGCCGCCCAGGCAGGTGGCCGTGGGCGGTGGCAGTGGGGAGCGGGGCTGGCGGGGCCGCGGGAGCCCGGGCGCCGGCTCACCTCTTCTAGCTGGCTGTGCACGTGCTGCACGATCAGATCGATGGCCACCGTGTTCCCACTCCCTGGGCCGGGACAGGAGGGAGGGTGAGGTCCGGCCTTGCCCGCCCCCGCCCTCCCCCGCCAAGGTGGGCCGCAGGCTCACCCCGGGGCACCACGATGTCCGCCACGCGCATGGTGGGCTGGATGTACTGATCGAAGGCGGGCTTCACAAACTTGTTGTACTGCTTGATGACACCCTCGATGTCCCGGCCCCGCTCGCTAATGTCACGGCGCAGCCGCCGCACGAGGCGGATGTCAGAGTCCGTGTCCACGAAGATTTTCATGTCCAGGAGCTGGACGGGGAGAGTGAGTTGCTGAAGAGGGCCTGACACAAGAGGCTCCAAGGCCCTGTCACCAGCAGGACCAGAGTGAGCACCAGGGGACGGCCTCTGGCAGAGACGTCTGGTCTGCGTGTGGGCCCAGGAGCAGACCAGGCCTGCGCGGCACCGTTCGGGTCTGGATGGGGTGGGGGCGGGGGGAGCGTGTGGTGTGGCTGCGTGGGGGGGCGGGTGTGCATTGCACGTGGAGTGTTGAGCGTGTGCGTGCGTGGCGAGCAGTGGGGTTCCTGGGGCCTGAGCACACTCACACTCCGGACCAGCGAAGGAGCAAGGACAAGGGTGTAGCCGGCTCTGCCCCCTCGGGCCCCAGCAGGGTGGGGAAGGTGGCTCCCAAGGCCTGGCCCGGAGTGGGTCACACCTGGGGCAGCTGCCCAGAGCCTCCCAGGGGAGAGGATGTCCTCACAAGCAGTGCAGATGCAGGAGGCTGGCTCCCTCCCAGGCAAGAATACACACATGCACACCCACAGGTGAACCCACACCCACCAACATCGCTCTGACCCCGGCAGCCACGTGGACCCCAGAGAAGAGCAGCCGAAGCCCTGACTCGGGGGGTGAGATTCAGGAGCCAAGGCTGCTCCTCACCCAACTCTGGGGCTACGGCACGGGACAGAGATGCAGGCAAGTGTAAGGGGAGTCCCACGGGAGGATCAGGGAGCCAGGCCATCCGTCCTGGAACCCATCCTCACCTCCAGCAGTGTCTTGTCAGCAAAGGCCATGATGCCCTCGAAAATGATGACGTTTGCACCGTAGAGCGTCTTCTGCAAAGGAACCGTGTGTGTTGAGGCGGCCCCGAGGCCCCTGCGCCAGCCCCGTGCAGCTGGGCCCAAGGGCATATATACCCAGTCCTTCTTCCGGCTGTGGGTGGTGAAGTCGTAGATGGGCACCTTGACACTCTTGCCTTGCTTCAGCTTCTTGAGGGTGGAGATGATGAGGTCAAAATCAAAGGCATCTGGGTGGTCGAAGTTGAAGTTGTTGTGGGCGGCCTGCTCCTGCTGCTGCCTGGTGAGCACCTGCAAGGGGAGGAGCATCTGCGGGGGGGGAGGAGCACCTGCGGGGGGAGGAGCACCTGCGGGGGGAGGAGCATCTGCGGGGGGAGGAGCACCTGCGGGGGGAGGAGCACCTACAGGGGAAGGAGCAGCAACGGAAGGAGAAGCAGCCACGGGCTCAGGCCCCAGGCCAGGGCAGGAGCCATGGACCTCGTGGAGGCAGCTGCTCATGCAGGACTCCCTTACCTTGTAGAAGGAATCCATGGACAGCAAGACCACCCAGGGCACGTCCAGGGCCTCGATGATCATTCTGGCCACAGTGGTCTTCCCAGAAGCACTGCCTCCCCCCAGGCCTGTGCGGAGGGTCAGAGAGACCCTGAGCGGAGCGGCCCAGGTCAGCTTCACAAATGGGTCCCAGTGGTGCCCGCCACCCAACGCTGCCTCCACCCCGGGCTGACCTGGACCGAGGGGCCCGAGCAGCGCGGATCACGGAAACACCGGCTGCGGCATGGCGGTGGGTTCTGCCTGACCCGCCCACTCGGGGGTCTGGGTGGGCGGCGGCCTCGGCCCACCCACGCACCACAGCCACGCTCACCGATGGCGAAGGCCTCCTTGGACTGGGTGCCGTGCTCGTTGTACCAGGGCGGCCGCCCTGCTGTGTAGATGGTGCGCTTGCTGGTGCGCAGCAGGGGCGGCTCAGACTTGCACTGGCTGGTGGTGCGCTTCCGGGGCGAGCGCCCGGCGCCCACAGGTGGGAGAAGCCTGTCCAAGGACTCCGCGTTGCTGCTGCCGCTGCTGCTGTGGGGGGCGGGGGCACGCTTGCCTTGGCCCAGGGCCACCACCCCCCCTGCCACCCCACGCTGGGCCTGGCGTGACTGGTCCACGTGGTGCCTTCACGCAGGCACGTGGGCATGGCCAAGGTGAGCGGGCTCGTGGCAGGACACAGCACACCTGGCTGCAGCCCGTCCACTGGGCCCGGGGCCTCAGACTGCCACCGTCCACAAATCCAGAGGGACGGCAGGTGGCAAAGGAGGACACAAGGGGAGCGCTGACCGGGCCCAGCTCTTCCTCCCACATGGACCGGGCCTCAGCAGGGCCACGAGGGCCCCCTTTCCCCCAGGAGATGAGAGGTGGGCACGCCAAGGCCAGTCAAGACCCTGTCGAGGACTGTGTCCTCTCCCCAGACACACTCTGGGCGGCCCTCTAGTTTTGTGCCACCCTGCAGGACACGCAGGGAGAGGGGCTCCAGAGACAGAGGCCGCTGACAAAAGGGATGGGCCGGCGGTGGTGTGGACGGACGGGGAGGGAGACCCGGGGCGCCCTGCTGAAGGGCGGAGGCCCCCAGAGGCTGTGCACAAGGCGGGAACCCGCCTGGGAGACGCAGACGCCATCTGTGCCTGCTCTTGCCGTGCCACGCCACTTGAGCAGGGCTGTGCTGACTTCTCTGTAGGTTTATACCCCTAAAAGGCATGGAAGTGACGACTGGCCCAGGGCCTCAAGGCCTCAAGGCCTCAAAGCCTTCAGGGACAGCTGGGGAAGCTCGGCTGAGGGCCCTACGAGAGGCAGCGTCTGCCCGATGCCGGCTCAGTCTATGCTGAGAGGCTGGGTCACAGACTCAGTGTGAAGGTGGCCCCGGGGGCAGGACCAGCTTAGGAAGAAGGCACTTCCACCACCGCCTGAGAGAGAGACTGCCCACAGCGTCAGCTGGCAGACCCGCCCCAGAGACTCCGAAGGCAAGCTGATCGTCTAGGCAGGAAGAAAGTACCGGGAACCTGGGGGTGCACCGGACAACCCCGGCAGGATGTGTGTCCACCCGCGGCTGGAGCCCCAGGGATGGATGCTGCTCGGGACGCGGGCGGGAACCTGAGGAGGAGCCACACACGGAAGGCATCCTCGAGGCAAAGCTCCCCGAACCGTAAAAGCTAGCGTGAGCCTGTGAGATTCGTGCACAGAGACGGCCACCTGTCCTTGAAGCTCGCTGTCACCGCTACAGCCTCTGCTGTCATGGCCAGGGCACGGGGTGCTGTGAAACTGGCCTGCTTAGGGTGGCCCGAGCATCCCCCGCCAGGAACACTGGCGTCTCCAGCTGTGCGGTGCTCCCAGCACACCCAGCGTTGCCAAGAGCCAGGAGGACGGCGCCTGTGTGCACACATGTGTGGGGTGGGGGGGGGGGGGGGGGGGGGGGAGCAGTGGAAGGAATTAGCTCAGGCCTAACACGTGATGAGCCACACCAGCAGCTCTCGAGGGCACAGAGGGCCGTGTCAGCACAAGTTACGCAGCAGGAAAGCCGGCCATCGGATGTGACAGGAGGCGTGCAGCACCGTCCGGGGGACAGACAGCACCGGGCCGCCTCGGTCCTCCGTCACTGGGACGGCGTGGGGAGCAAGCCCCGGGAATCACTGGCTGCCTGTGTTGCCTCTGGAAGTAGCAATTACTCGTCCGTGGAGCCAACAACACAGTGGGACACCCAGATGACGGGGCAGTGACAGCTCACTTGATGCCTCACTCAGCCAAGCAGGAGATAGACGGAGCACAAGCAGTGGTGTCTTCAAGCCCCAGCCGGAGGGCGGCGCTGGCCGTTCCCCTGGACGCGCTCATCCCCCAACAGCGAGCACGGGGCCCCCAGGGCTCACACACAGCTGCCCTCCCCGCAAGCGACCCACAGACCCTGGAGATGACCGACAGCATATAGACGGGGAGGGCAGCTTCGCACAGCCCCAGAGGAAAATGTCCAGTCTGTGCCTCCTACCCGGGGAGGAAAAGCCAAAACAGAAAACCTGGTTTGCAAAGGAGCAGGGCCTCAGTGCCCCAGCAAACCCGCCCTTGTGCCCAGCACGCTCACGGACAGCCAGACGGCCTCGCGGGGCCGATGTGGGATGGGAGGCCTGGGCTGGCGCTGCTGCCGTCCCCCTGCTTTTCACCCCACGCTGGTGCCCTGGCCTCTCCAGCAGGAGCCCTCACCCCTCTCTGTGACTGACCCTTGTCCTACTGAGGTGACGACGGCCACTACCACGGATGACTTCCAAGGCCTGTGGTGCGGACAGCCCGGGACAGACACCTCCTCAGGGAAGATCCCAAGGTTAGCCAGGGATGACCTTGCCAGAAATCCGCCCGGCCGAGGGCTTGCAATAGGCCTGACGGCATCAGGCCAGTTCTGCAACCAAGTCCAGCTCCACTGCCTCCTCCAGAAGCCCGGCTCTCTCTCAAAGCCGAGGACAAACTCACTGTGCCCTCAGAGCAAGCCTCACCCCGTTTTCACAATAGGACAAACCATGACATGGGAGAGCCTTCACCTCCCTGCTCACGGATGGACAGGGTGCTGCCAACCACAAGGACAAAAGGCAGTCCACCAAAGGGTTATGAGCCACATGGACACGCGTCGGCTGGTAACTGAGAGCCCCAAGCAAAGCCGGCAGCCGGTCCCAAGAGCACCCGGCCCGTCTCCGCCCTGATGTGCACTAGACACGGCACCCGGGGCTGGGGGTGGCCGAGACGCAGCGAAGATGGGCAGCCTCACCGGAAGACAGCAGGCCAGCCACTCACCTGCCTTCTGCTCCAAGGGCCCAGCACCCCGAGACCCTGATGCCAGGGTAAGCCTGGGGGCTGCTCATGGCCAGGACACAGGGGAAACCGGGGCACCAGGGTGATCCCAAGTGCGTGCAGGGCACCGCCGCACTGCCTCTTAGAGCCCTGGCAGCCCCCCAGGACAGCTCAGGAGCCCCCTGAACTGCTCCTCCATGGGTGGGCAGCACAGCAGGTGAGAGGCTGAAGTGGGGTCCAGGCCCTGGCGGGCAGAGGCTGTCCCCTGGGAGGCGGGGGGCCAACAGGTGAGAGGCCCCAGGAGCCCGTGCCGAAGCAACAGCACTCAGCGCCGGCTGCCTAAGAGGATCACCCGGCTGGGGGTTGTGCGCTGGCCTGATATTAATAGCACTGAGCTGCCGAGAGCAGCCAGGCGGACCTCAGGCCAGCGTTGGGTATGAACCGCCCCTCCTGTGCTCAGGCTGGCACACTGCCCACCCAGGGCTGGCTGAGGACCACCGTGCCCCCCTCGTCCAGAACGGCCTGGAGAAAGCTCCAGACCTCTGGGCTGCCGGGGACGGCAGGGCCCACCCCCGCACCCCACCAGCGGGACAGGGAAATCGGAGGTGTCTCTCAGCCGCCAAGCTGTCAGCGAGCAGCGGAGCTGAGCTGAGCACCCCTGCCCCCAGGTGCCTCCGAGAGGCATAAACAACCTGAAACTCTACCCTGCTGAGGCCTCCTCCGAGAATAACTGCCCGCCCCCCCCACCCTCCACGAAGGCTCCAGCACATCCCCCAAGGCCACCCGTGCTCAGCGCTCAGCTGGGGACACAGCCACGCCCCAGTCTGGCAGCAGGAGGCAGAGCAGGCCCTCGGGTGGGCGGCTGCAGTATTCACTGCCGTCCCAGGTCCCTGGCCCCCTCCCTGTGATTAATCCAGCCCACACACCAGCTTTTCTAGTCGGCTTCCGACAGCATCAAAGTGGAGACGGCTGGCGGGGGCTCAGGGGAGAAAGAGTTTCACTTGGGGTCCGCACACTGAAGGGGGCCCCTCCGGGGCGCTGCCTCAGGGTAACAGGCCTGCCCCGCGGTAGCTGCTCCCTCCTGCTGCAGCCCTGCCCACCGCACTCAGGCTCGGGGCTGAGGAGCCCTGATGCCCTGTCCTGCTTTAGGAAAGTTTCCCGGGGGAGTGAGTCAAATGAAGCCAGAAGCAGGAGGGAGGAGCTGGCCCGCTGGGGCCTGGCCTGGGTGGGCGGGGCCGCCCCAGACTGGCTCAGGGACAGGGAAATCAGGGCAGCTTTCTCAGAGCAGGGAGAGAACTGGGGGACTGGGGGGGCTGCAGCCCTAAAGGGGTGCAACAGGCTCCAGGAACTTGTACTGTCCCCACCCCACCCATTGGAAATCCCCCTGTGGGACCCCCCCCCCTCCTTCCCCGCTGCTCTAGGCGAGTCCAGCAGGCTTCCTTCCAGTCGCCCAGCAGCAGCCCCCAGACCCGTGCCCACCCGGACCTCACCAAGGGACAGCCCGAGGGGGGTACCCTGTCACCACTGCGAGGTGCTCACTTGTCCACCAGCATGTCCAGTGCAAAGGTAGGCCGAGGTCCCCGTCCTCACCGGACTGACCTTCCGGAGGGACAGACACACAAGAAGCCACGGCAAGGTAGGCCGACCAGACCACATCGTGCAGCCACGGTGATGCGGAAGGCGAAGCCGGAGCCATGGTCGGGCGGGGAGAGCCTCGGTTTGAAGGCATCTGCACAGACACCCGGACACTGACCAGAGCCAGCTCTGGCCCCCTCGGGCCGCGCAGGGACTGCTGGGGAGGCGGGAAGGGGGAGGGCACATGCTTGAGGAACATCGCAGAGAAGGCAGGGTGTGACGGGAGCGATTCCCCTGTGATGTCCAGAGGCAGCTCCAGGGCCACCCCATGGGCCCTGGCTCCCCTCCTGTCCCCTGAGGACCACGCTCCGAAGAGAGGAAGACCACTGCCGCCCCAGCCCCGTGAGGGGCACCCATGCCCACTACGCGGTCTGTGCACGGGGCAGAGCCAGACGGCTGCTGCCACCGTTCTGTGTCTGCAGGGAGTGTTCTTCTCAAGAGCTTATCTGGTCTCAGGCTACATCAGATTCCCTGGAACTAACAAGTGTCACAGACTCAGGTCCTCCCTCTTCCCCCCTATCACCCTGAGCCAGGCTCGGAGTCACTGCTCCCCAGGAGGGGGTGAGCCTAGAGGAACACAAGATGCTCCTCCAGGCCCAGGGAGCCTCTTCCTGCCGGCATCTCGCCCCTGCGACCCCTCTCCCCGCCCGCCCAGCGGCTCTGCTGGCAGCACCCAGACAGTCCCAAGCAGTCCAGGCCGCGGCACGTCCCAGGAACAGGCACCTGGCTGGAAAAGTTTCCTTTGGCCCCAGCCTGGGGCCAACGCTGGCCCTGGCCCAGGGACGGTTCAGATCCAGAAGTGAGGAGCCAGCCCTCGCCCGAGGGCCGCTTGGCCGTCACCCCCTGGGGCCTAGCCCGAGGCTGACAGCGGAAGCCGCCCCCCCCAACCAGGTGACAGCGGCTCCCACCACTTCCCCGCCTGCAAAGCCCCCAGAGCCTCCAGGGTCCCCTCCCCCGGCGTCTGGCCGGCAGTCGGAAGGCACTGAGCACCGCGCCGCCCAGCATCACGACCTCTGGCCCTCGAGTGGGGCATGCCGAGTCCGTGAGGCTCCCGGAACGCACTGACCACCTGGGAGCATCCGGCGGGCGCACAGTCCAGCCCGGGTGCTCGCTGGCCCGGCACCCCGTCTGCTCGAGACAGACCGAGGCCCCACGCGGGCCCTGCCCACGGGCCCCTTCCCGCGGCCGTCCGCGAGGGCCCGCCACCGCCAGGCCCCGAGGACCCTCCGCTGGTCCAGGCTCGGCTCCCGGAGCCGCCCCCACCACGAGACGCGAGGGGCGCGCCGCGCCTACCGGTCCTCGCTCTTCCCCTCCAGCCGGTCTGGCTCGTCTCCAGCCGCTGGGGTCGGCGGCACCGGGCGGGGGGCTTCAGCTGAGGCCGGGAGCGCAGCCATGAGCTCGGGGGCCTCTCCGCGGGCTGGGCGGGGCTCGGGGGCCGGCCGCGCAGGCTGTCGGAAGCTGTGGTTCGGGGCCCGGCCCCAGGCGCCCGCCAGCGCGCCCCCGGACTACAATTCCCATCAGGCTGCGCGCGCCCCGCTGACTACAAGTCCCACCAGGACGCGCGCGCCCCGCAAACCAGAAGCCCCACGAGGCCGCGCGGCGCGAGTGCGGGGAAGGCCCCCCACCCGCGCTTTACCACAAACTCAGCTGCACAAAACCCCTGGAAAAAAATCAATAAACATTTATTTGATACAGTCATTTTTAATACATACAGTTGATGGCCCGCCCCCGTGCCACTTGGGGCCGGGGGGCGGGGACGAGGACCGGGGACAGATGGTCACAAGGCGGGCGGGGCCCGAGCTCACCGTCAAAACATCTTGCAAATAAACACTTTGTAGATAGAATATATACGTATATATATGGTTACAAGTTGATAGCCGGAACCTCTCTTTCGAAATGCACTTATTACGGAGAACTGGCATCAAAAACACCCAAACCGAGAAACCCCAAGTACAGGATGCGTGGCTGCCAGGCGGGAGGTGCTGGCTGCCCCCGAAACCCCAGGCCTCCAGGACAGCCGCCTGGGGCCCACCCAGGGGGACACACCGGGACAGCCCTCCCCTCTACAGGTCAGGGTGCACCCACTCTTTCCCTTCCAAACCAGAGGGACAAGAGGGGCCTACGACTGGGAGGGCCACCAGTCACACCAGGGGACACTCATCTGTCCTTGCGTGAGCAGAAAAGTGCATCCTATTTTCGCGTGACGTGTCGGTCCCTTGAGTCGACCCTTTCCTGTTCTCAGGGCAAGGGGGGCGGGCTGGGCCAGAGGTAGATCTTCAGAAAGGGACCTGACACTGTGCCCTGGGTTTGGGGTCTCAGGCAGGGTCCACACCCACTGCATGGAGGGGGGTGTCTGCCACTCAGTCCCTCTCATTGAAGGTGTCAGTCAAGGCTACCTGGCTGCACTCCCACCAGAGTGGGAAGTGGGCAGATCTTGCTGAGGCACCCAGGGCTCTGCCACCGTAGGAGGAGGGCTCTGAGGACCGGCTTGCTGCTGCCACCCACCAGCCAGAGCATGGAAGCCGGGAGGGAAGAGGGGAGAGAGAGGGGTCCAACCCAGCGCCACTTTTGGCCGCAGTCCCCACGCCCACCTTAAAGACAAAGAAGGGGGTTAAAGTGCTAAACATCAAGTTACCCAGGACCCCACCTCTTCCCACATATCTGGTGGGGCTCCCACGCCAGGGACCACACGTGGACTTTCGGGGGTGACAATGAAACGTATCCCCCAGCCAAAACCAGCCCCCGCTCCCCAAGGGCCAAGTACCTGAGAGGCCGGGGCAGGCAGCTATCCCCAGCAGAGGTGTTGAGGTCCAACCTCCTCCAACCATTGGTGACAAGGACAAAGTGCGCGTGGGGCTCCCATCAGTGCCTGCTCCCCACCCTCCCCCCGGCAGCTGCCCCTGCAGTGGCTGCCCGACCCACCTCCACCTCCACCAGCTGTACCCCAGTGACACCCAGGAACACAGGAAAGAAAGCCCCCCTGCCCCGAAGTCATGCTGCTTGCCTCAGCCTTTGACGCTGGATTACCTGCACCTGCCTAGGCCTCTACCCCCTGATCAGATCAGGTGCGTGTGAGTGGGGGGGAGTCCATGTCTCCACACCCCCTCCCTAGCACATCAGGCCAGGACTGCCCGGGGTCAGAGCACTCTGGCTGAAGGAAGAAGCCGGAGACGGGCAGCATGGTGCCTCGGCCCCAAAGCCCTCCTGGAAACTGTCTCCCTAGTGCGGGGTGAGGAGAGCTGAGCCCAGATTGGAGCCCCTCCTCTCCAGGGACTGGAGGAGGACAGGAGCTGGGGGGCAGAGGGGTGCCCAGTCAGCACCGCCTCCCTGAGCAGGAGAGGGACCCCAGCCCAGCCCCCAGATCCACCGTCGGCACCAGGAAACCCTTAGCACCAAAATGTCAGATTGTTGTGAGTTTTCATATAAAAAACAGAATTAAAAAAAAGGTTTGTTACTTGTCACAGCAACAAGACTGGCATCCACTACACCCAGGAGACACACGCACACGGGCAAACATCAAGATTCACATCGTCCGGGGTCGGCAAGGCCGAGCCCTCAGCCCTCCCCCACCCCCCAGTGGAAAAGAGCCTCCATCCGAACCCAGCAGCTCCGAGCATCCTCCCTGTCCCAGCGACGCCATGGTTGGAAGGTGGGGCCCAGGCAGGAGGTCAGAAACCACATGGCTGCATCCTCAGAGAGCCCTGGACTCCACCTGACCCAACCTACAGACCTCGCTGCCTTCAGGGCACCAAAGAGAGCCGAGACAGAGCCCTGGAGCTGCCACCAACCTACTATGACCTTGGCCAAGCTCCCCCTGGGGCCTTCGGCTCTCACATCAAAAGGCCACACAACCAGAAACGAAGGAGCAGCTAAAAAAGGGGGAAGGAGGCTCCCACGGGAGCTTGGCCACAGGCCAACCCAGGCCAGCAAGAGATGCTGCTTCCCACAGTGGTCACTACTCGAGCCAGGCCCCAGGCCCCTGCCACTCATGCCCGTGGGCCCCAGGTGACCCCGGAACCCAGACTGGCCCATCCCTAAACCCATCAGGCTACCCGACTCAGGCCGGCGGCATTAGCGAAGCTGGAGGCTGAGGCCAGAGCTCACTTCACATGGCCCCTGCCCTACAGCCCTGCAGTTGCAGAAGCAGAGCCTCTGCCTGGCCCCGAGTGGGGAGCACGACTGGGGACGGTGGAGCAGGGCTGCCTCTGCCACCACGATGGACACGGGCCAGTGGGGCAGGGCCCGAGCGCAGCAGGGGCTGCACCGCAGGGGAGGGTGGGCCTGGAGAGGTAGAGAGCAGAAGTGCAGGAACCAAAAGACGGCGGGGTGGGGGTGGGGTGGGGTGCGGTGGGGCGGGCAGGTCAGCACGGCAGCTGTCAGACTTGGGGTCTGTCCTGGGAGGTAGCTGGGGGGTGCTGGGGTTCCAGTGTCGGGTCACGAGGTGAGGCTGCTCAGGTACCCTCATCAGCCCAGAACCACGGGCCACCAGGGACCCCCGATGGGGCGCGGAGCTCACACGCCGAGGACCAGAGGCCACCTGCCTGCTCCGTGCCGCCCCAGCACCGAAGCCCAGGCTGCAGCCCGTCCTCTTGCCGGCCCGCGAAGGTCCCTCCAGACTATTGCACTTCTGCAGCTGCCCTGGCCCTCCCGGGAGCCCCTGCCCAAGGTGCCCTGCGGCAGCCCGCGTGGGGCAGGGCCACCCTCGGGGAGGGGAGAGGGCTGGCCGCCCCCGCTGGACAGATGAACAGGCAGGGGTGGGGGGTGGAGGCCTGGAGGGCAGGAGGCTCTGGAGCCCCACCCTGGACAGAGGGGGCCGGGCCCCACCCACCTGCCAGGCTGCAAACTCACTTCTCGGGCGCCTTGCCGGCTCCCACCTTCCGGCCAGCAGAGCCCCGGGCCCCCTTGTCTCTGCCTCCTGGGGGCCAGTCGTCCCGGTGGGGAGGCGTCCCAGGGACTGGATCATCAGGGGGTCGCTCCTTGGGCTTGCGGCCCCGCTTCTTCCCGCCAGCCGGACTCTTCTCCTTTCTGGGCACCAGGGAGTCTGGGCCCTTGTGTCTGGGAGGCGGGTCTGCCGAAGTGCGGAACCAGTTCTGGGGGAGAGAAGCAGCGATGGAAACCCTGGGGCCCAGGACCCTGGAGGGCGAGGCGGCAGGGGACCCGGGGCCTGGGGACACCCAAGCTTCTCTAGGGAAGCCGGAGGCTGCTCTGAAGAGAAACCAGCAGATTCCTCAACGTTGCCCACTCGCTCAAGTGAAGAGCCGTCACCCTGACGCCCCTGCCCTTTCCGGCCCCCTCCATGGGGCCAGCGCATCCAGCCGCAGGCCCAGCAGGGCTCTCCCACCAGGCCCCTGTCCCTGACGCACCTCCGCGTGGGCCTTGAGGATGTGGTACTTGACGCCACTCTCGGAGCTAAACTCCTTGGGACACAGCAGACAGCAGTACTTCCCCACCAGGTGGTCCCCCTGGAAGGCACAGGGCAGTCCAGCCCCTGGAGGTTGGCCCCTACCACTGGCCCTTGGAGGACCAGAAGTACCCAGATGCAGCCAGGACCACCCCAACCTGTGTGGCTTATCTGGATGGGTGCCTGACAGGTGTGCTCTGGGGACCCACGAGGCCACTCTGTGGCAGGACCACCAAGGTGTCCCCACTGCAGGGGAGGTGGGAAGCAAGGAGAGGGTGAGAAGAGGCAGGTGCTCCTGGGAAGGGTCGCAGCCCTTTGCCAAGGGCCCTTACCCCAAGCCCAGGTCGGGCTGTCCCAGCACAGACGAGGAGCCCCCATAGGCAGAACCACCCAAGACTGAGTGAGTGATGCTGGGGCTGGAGGCGGCGAGCGTCCTGGGCTGCGCTGGCCCTGGCCCCATAGGGGCAGGGGCGCACACCCGGTGTGTGCGGACCCCTGGGGGGCAGCTGGGAGCACCAAGCACGCACGCCTGGCCGCCGGGAGGGCCTGGACACTGACCTTGCTGCAGCTGGCCAGATGGGCCTTGAGGCCGGACACGCTGGAGTAGATGGCTTCGCAGCACTGGGGGCAGGAGGCGACCGTGGGGGCGGGCCCTCCGGCAGGTGCCCCCCCACCAGTGTGCACCCCTTGCCCAGCCCGGGGGACCCGGGGCCCATCTGGGGCAAGCGGGGGGACTTGATCCCAGGAGTCACCCCTGCCCAGGGGTGTGGGCAGGCTGGGCCGCTAGGGCTGAGGTCAAGGCCCCTCTGCCTGTGAGGCTCCGTCTGAGGACCCTTCAGGGGCCACGTGGAGGGCTCCCCCCAAGGCCAGCCCTGGGCCCTCCATCCTGAGTCCCAGCGTTCCCATGCCTTCCCAGCCTCCCTGGCTCACATCATTGGGGCAGTTGACGTGGCCCTTCTCCTTGACCTCGTTCTTCCACTCCTCCAGCAGCCGGGGGTTCAGCACAGGAAGGCCGGGCCGCGTGTAGTTGAGCTGCAGACGTGGGCGGGTGCCAGGGTGAGCTCGGAGCTTGGGCTGGAGGTGACCCAGACGCTCCCTGCTGAGCTGAGAAAGCCCTCAACCACGCCCTCCCAGGTCACGGGGGCTCAGGCTCAGAGACTGGGAGGCTGGGCTCACCCGCGCAGTCTCGGGTACCAGGTCGTCCTTCATGCGCCGCTTGGTCCAGTCTCGGGCCAGCTCGTCCTCCGCGATCTCCTGCAGGTGGAACACAGCGACCTGGGCCGACGTGCGGCGGATGCGGCCGCTGGGGGTCCGTTCGACACCCAACAGGTCCTCAGCCTCGGGGGCCTTGTCCGCAGGCTCCTCGGGGGGCTGCGGGGGTGGGGAGGGGGAGGCCGGATGAGCCACAGAGAGCACGTATGAGCAAGCGCACGGGGGACACGGGAGCCCACCCCAGGCTCACTCCCCCCGACCCACGACGCACGTGGGCCCCTGGGAGGGAAGGCAGAGCACACGTGGCAGGCAGCACACGGGCGCGCCTGCCTGGTGCCCGAGGGACAGGAGGCCGGGCTGTGGGCCGCTCACCGGGGCCGCGTGCTCCGAGCGCACGTGGTAGTCGTGGCCGGCCTTGGAGCGGTAGGTCTTGCCGCAGTGGGTGCAGGGGAAGGAAGGGGTCTCCACCTCGCAGGGCGGCTTCCCGCAGCGTCGCTGGTGGTACTGGTAGCCCATGAGGCTAGAGAAGGCGGCCCCGCAGCCCTGGGGTTCCGGGGGCAGGTGAGTGGCCGGAGAGCGGCGGGCCCCATCCCGCCTGGCGCCCGCACCCGCGCGGCCCACTGACCTCCTGGGGGCAGCGCAGCCGCCCCACCTGCTTCAGCACCTTCCGCAGCCACTCCCGCTCCTCGCGCTCGCCCGCCTCCGAGGCCTCGGCGTCACAGGGCTGCAGGGCAGGCCAGCTTCAGTGCCCCCGCCACCACAGGGCCCCGCCCCTGCCCAGGGGCTGCGGCCGCGGACGTCCCTAGCCAGGCACGGGAGCCACTAAGCCCTGCTAGCGGAAGGCCAGCAGTGAGAGCCGGGCAGGCGCGGGGGCAGACCAGCGGCAAACCTTGGCGCTGTGCTCCGCCATGGTGTGGTAGTTGAGGCCCGCCTTGGACTTGAACTGCTTCCGGCAGTGCTCGCACTTAAGTGCATCCTGCAGCTGCAGACGGGCATGCGTGTGAGAGGCCGGCCCTGGGGCGCCTCCCCTCCCAGGCACGGGGGCAGCCTCACCTTCTGACACACTTCCATGTGCTTCTTGAGCCCCACGAGGGTCTTTCGGGTGACCACGTTGCAGGTGGGGCAGACGGCCTCCCCCCGTTCGTGGATGGCCCGTTGCCACTGCTCCTCAGGGCCACCTGTGGAGCAGGGCCAGGGCCTCAGGGGCAGGCAGGAGCTCCCAGATGCCCTGGACGCCAAGCACAGAACCCAGGGTCCATGCTTGGCCCCCGTCCCCGCGGCTCGGGATCCGCCCCACCCTCAAGACCCGGCCTGTGCCCCGCCCCCCGGCAGCTCCCACCTGGGGCTGGGTGGGCCCCGGGGGCCGGCACCTCCTTGCTGACAGCGCTGGTGGGGGCTGGCCCCCTCTTCCGCACCTCCTCAGGGACCGGCCCCTCCTGCTTCTTGGCGCGGTGGATACGGGCTTTGTCCTCCGCCTTGGCCAGGCCTACGCGCGCACGCGGGAGGGGCAGGTGCAGGCTGAGGGCGCGGCCGCCGCGTGTGCTTGGCCCCACAGTTGCCCGGCTGGTCCAGGCCTCACCTTTGAGTCCGAAAGTCCCTGAGATGGAGGGCTGCTCACCCGTAAACTTCTTGGGTGTCTTCTGTTTCCTTCCTGACTCGGGGGAGAGAACACAGAGGACAAGGCTCTGGTCAAATAACCATTGGGAGGCTCGGGCCGGCTGGCTGCTGCCCCCCGCCCTGCTGCCGCCCCCTGCTCTCGTCTTACTGTGCTTCGTGCGCTCCGCACCCTCCTCAGGCGGGGACACGGGGCCCGTGGCCCTTGGCACCTCCTTGCCCCCCAAGGCTCTGCTGCCCAGAGAAAGGGGGCTGCTGCTGGGGTCTGTGCTCAGCTGGAAGGTTGAGCTCTGGTCTGTGGTGGACGGGCCGTACTCGCCGTTCTCCGGCCTCGCCTGCTTGGGCGGGAGGGGGCAGGCATCCAGGCCGTCTGCAGCCCTGCAGAGAGCAGGGAGGTAAGGGGCGGGAGGGCCCGCTCTGGGCCCTGTTACCCCTGAGCTGCAGCCGGGGACACCCAACCCCACCCAGCAGGAGTCCCCATACCTTTTCTTACCGCTGCTCCTCCCCGCGGCCCGAGGAGCTCTGTTCTCAGACTTGGTCAGCAGCACCATCTTGCAGGGCGGCGTGTGTCTGCTGATGGCAATGGGCCTGCTGACCGTCACCGGCTTACTGACCACAATGGGCCTGCTGACCGTCACCGGCTTCGCAACTGGCACGGGTTTCGTAACTGTCACAAGCTTTGTCACAGACACCGGCTTGTTGATGGTCACTGGTTTGGTGACCGGCACTGGTTTGTTGACTGTTACTGGCTTGGCAATTGGCACAGACCTGGTGACTGATATAGGCCTAGTGACCGGCACAGCCTTGGTGACCGGCACGGGCCTGCTGGCCGGCACTGGCTTGGTGACCGGCACGGGCCTGCTGGCCGGCACTGGCTTGGTGACCGGCACGGGCCGGCTGACCGTCACTGGCTTGGTGATGCCGATGGGCTTGCTGACTGTGACAGGTTTGCTTACTCCAATGGGCTTGCTGACCCCAACGGGCCGACTGACGGAGACTGGCCGGCTCACTGGCCCAGGCTTGGGGGCAGGCAGGGGTCGGTCCATGTGGTTCCAAATCCGATGCTTCTCCAGCTGGGTCTTAGAGGTGAATGCAGCCTCACAGAAGGGGCAAGGAAAGGTCAGCCTTTCTGAGATGGCACCCTGGGTGGAGAGGGCAGGCGTGGACACCCCCAAGCCAACAGCCAGGGCAGGGTGGGCCCCAGGCCTCCCCTTCCCCAGGCCGCAGCCCCTTACCCCTTGGCACCGCTGGTAGTGGTACTTGAGCCCGTAGATGCTGGGGAACTCCAGCCAACACCCAGCGTTTGGACACTTCACCCTCGAGTGCGCCTTGAACTCATCTTTCCACTGGTTCATCAGGGAGAGCTGGGCGTGGGAAAGGCCAGGCTGTCGACCCTGCAGCCACCCAGGCCTCTGCTGCCCAGCCCCCGACTCAGCACTGTCCCCAGGCCTGTGGGAGCCCCGCACATCACCCGCTGGGCCCCAGGCCGTCTCTCGAAGCCCTCGCACACGGAGCAGCCAGTGGATCTGGGCTGAGGGCTCGGCACTGGACACGCAGCAGGCGAGCCTGCCAAGGCAGTGGGCTCCCCGGCAGACCCTGTGAGAGTCCCACCCAGCCCTCGGGGAGCTCACAGGAATGTCTCGGAGCGCCTGGTTCTCGGCTTTCGGACGCCCCTTTTTCTTCCCTTCCGTTCTGTCGCTGGCTGGACTTCCCGGGTCAAAGCAGAGAGGGGCCTGGCTGGGCACTGTCGGCCCACCCCGGCCTACCGGCAGCCCTGCAGCACACGACACACCAAGGCTCAGAGGCTGCATTCCCTGCAGCCTTGTCTGCCACCCAGGGGGCTGGTCCCGCCTGCAAGGAGCCTCACTTCCCCTGCACTGAGGCACGAGGGGCAGGATGAGGCACGAGGGGCAGGAGGCCGTGGCCCACCCAGGGTGGACCTCTCCTCCCTCTCAGGAGCTGGACATCCCGGGAGGCCCACGCCCAGCGCTGGTGCCCGTGGCCACCTGGAGTCGACCTTGCCCTGACTCCTCTTACCTAGCTTCGGTGGGTCGTGAAGCATGGGAAGTCGGACCTCATTCCGGCCGCCATCCCTCCCAGGCCCACTCTTGCTGGACCCCGGGAGCCGGCGGCCTCCTCCAACACAAAAGGGATCGGTCATCTCTGCAGAGCAAGCGGACAGCCCGTGAGGTCCACTGGGCCCAACTCGGGACTTGAAATGGGCCGCTCTCGACCCTGCCCCAGACAGGCCCACTCTCCAGCCTGAGGAAGGGGAGCCTGCCCGCCTGTGTCTTTGGCCACAAGGGAAAGCAGATGAAGGGGTGGATGGGCGGGGGCGTGGGGGAGTTCCAGTTTAGGGGAGGGGCTGCTCAGCCAAAGTCTCCCTGGATGACCCAGAAAACCCTATCAGCGTGGAAGAATCTAGCCCTGTCCTGAAGCCTTCACCAGCTCCGGGGGGCTCCCTGCCTCCAGAGACACAATCCCAGAGAGCGAGAGAATCATGCATCTCTCACGCACCTGGTACCTGGCACTTAGCTGGGGATGGCTCCAGGAGAGGCGGAGTGCCCCAGGGGAGGAGGCCAGTGACACCCCTCGGGGGCCAATTATGACACCAGCATGGCTGCCGGCTCACAGGCTGTGCTGGCCCCACACCTAGAAGCACCTTCCCCCACAGCCCCACCCAGACCCAAGGCCACGCTCTGGGGCGCAGGTGGGTGCCCTCGCATCCTTCTCCTCAGGACACAGTTGGAAGATGGCCAAGGTGGGCACTGAGGGCCCCAGCCCACTCCCCAACTGCGTACACACCCTCTCCAGGGGGAGCAGACCAAGGACCCTGCAGCACCGGCTTCTGGTCCCTGTGCCAGCTGAGCCACCCTCCCTGACCCCCTGCCCTGCTTTGTTTCCCGCCGGGGCCCCTCCAACCAGACGGATGCCCCATGCTGGATCCCTCGGCCACTCTCCCCCTGGCTGACCTCCTCACCTCCACCCTCCAGAGACTCTCTGTCCCCAACCTACAGGCCCACCAGCGCCACTCCAGAGACGACAGGCCCCTGGTCACAGAGAACATTCCGCCGACTGAGGCTGGGCTTCAGTGGGCCCATTCTGCTGGGGGACCCCAGGCTCTGAGAGCTGGGGCGACTCTGAGTTCAGCCCTTTTGGGTCCTCCCACAGGGACGCTTAAGGCCACAGAAGAAGAGGGGGGCGGAATGTGGGCAGGTTACCCCTCCCCGGATGGTTTCTAACTTTTTTTTTTTTTAAGGCTGCGCCACACAGCATGTGGTATCTTCATTCCCGGACCAGGGACTGAACCAGTGCCCCCTGCAGTGGAACCGTGGCGTCTTAACCACTGGACCGCCAGGGAAGTCTCCTAACTTCTAACAGAGAGAAAAGGAGGGATCTGCTGTGCCTAGGAGGTCCAGAGGCCATCTGGGCAGACTGAGATCAGAGATCGGGACAGTCACTGCCCATGGTCAGGGGGCTGCCTACATCCTGGGCCTGGGGTCAGTACGGGTCCAGAGCGCTCTAAACAAATTTCTCTGGAAGCCCTCACACTGATACTTCCAAGGATACATGCCAGCGCCCTTCTGACCCCAGCAGAGGCTACTGTGGGTACCTGCTGAGCCCCACCTTTCCAGCCTTCCTCCAGCTTGGGTGAAGAATTCGGAGTTGGGAGCCCCCGGGACCAGGGCTGGCCTAGGAGGCAGAGACTCCCCTTCCATTCAAGGCCTGTGGCTCGCGCACCAGGAGGAGAAAGGGCTCGCCCCTCCCCAGAGGGGCCAGCAGGATCGCAGAGGTGGGACCCTCTGGAGCGGGGGGATAGGAGCGCCTCGCGCTGACCGCAGGCGACGCTGGCGGTGGGACCGCGGCCCAGGCCGCTCGGCCCGGGACCCCGGCCTGGGCCCGGGCGCGCGGATGAGGCCGGCCCGGGGACGCACACCTGGGGGCTGGCCTCGCTACCCACCTGTCACCTGCGGCGGGTGCGGGCCCGGCGTGGCCCCGGAAGGGCCGATCCCGGGCGCCTGGGGAGGGGGGGGCCCAAAGGCAGTGAACCAAAATGGCGACTTTTTCTGGAGAAGAAGGAGGCAGGGACGCGACGCCGGCGCGGGGCGCGGGGCGCGGGGCGCGGCGCGGGGTTCCGGCGCGGCGGGGGCGGCGGGCGGGGGCTCCGGGTCCGGCCCCCCGACCTGCGCGCGGGGTCAGGGTCGAGGGCGCGGCCGGCGCGGGGGCCGCCCGGGGTCGCGGCCGGGAGCGCGGCCGGGCGCTTACCTGCGGCGCCCAGCGGGCCGGGGCCGGGCAGAGGCCGGGGCCGGGCCGGGCCGGGGCGCGGGGCGCGGGGTCCGGGCGGCGCAGGCTGCGCGCCGCGCTGCGCACATGCGCGCTCCCGCCCCTCCCACCTTTGACAGTTTTACTGTGGGGGGGAGGGGGCGAACTCTCGCGGTATTCCTGCCGCTATCCGCGACGGGAGAGACGGGTCGGGGGAGGGGGCCCGTGCGGCCATCCGCTGGCCCGGTACCCCGTCCGTCGCCTGCGTGGGCTGGGCCGTCAGGGTGAAGTGGCCAGTTATGCCTCCGTCGGGCGGGAGGTGTTTTTCAGGCATTGGGGTAAACTGAGGCACGATGGGGCGCTGGGTGCTGCCCCAAGCCCAGCGCGCACGGATGGAAACGACGGGAAGGTGCAGCGAAAGAGGCTGCCCTCCCCTGGGACCTTGAACTCCTGGCCCCGGGGGCCTTGAGCCTGCAAAGCAGGATCCAGCCTCTTTTCCAACCAGCCCTGTGACCACGTCTGCCTGTGGCCACCCTCAGGAAATGGCCTGGCTCCTGGCAGTGCCGGGGCAGTGTGAGGCCATGGGCTTTATTGGGGTGACTGAGCAGCCTGTCTACTTTAGGGCGGTGGTCCTAGACCAGCAGCCAGTGCCCTCCTTGCTCCTTTGTGCCCCAGAACTGGGCTCTTGGCAGGGATGCTGGGATCAGGTCTGGGGGTGACAGGGCACCCACCTCACCGAGACTTGGAAATGAATGGAGTAGGGAAGGAGTGCTAGTTTGGAGACAGAGGTAAAAGGTGCTCCTCCTTCCCCGAGGCTCTTTCTACCTGCTCTGTCCACGCTGGGGCAGGTTCGGCTACACTGTTTGTGGGCAGGGCACAAAACATGTGGGCAGATTTGGAGTCTTCCTTTTCTCACAGGGACCTTTGGGAGCTGCTTCTCTCGAGGCACCAAGTGTCCATACTGGGGCAGAGGCAGGGAGGGGCCCTCTGTGGAGGGGTTAGTCAGTCCTTCCTTTGGAAATCAGAGCCAGAGAGACCTGTGTAATCCTTCCCTCATTCACTGTGCCCACCCCAGGGTCAAGACATGCAGGATTTCGGGAGGGGGGGTGTCAGTGTGTGTGCCCTGAGGTGCATCCAATTGGTAGGTGTGTGTCTGCATGACCACATATGTCAAGCTGTGTCCTGTTTGGCCATCAAGGTGTCAGGGTATGTCTCTGTGTCCCGTACTAGGTGAGAAAGATCCTGGTCGTATGTTAGCGTCTAAGTGACTGGACACAAGGTGTGGGGGGATGTCTGGGTCTTGGTGGGTTAGTATTTGTGTCTCGTTGCGTCTGCATGTCAGGGCAACGTGTGATGTTATGTGTGTTGTGTATGGGGTGCACTGTGCCTGGTGTTTTTCTGTATGTTAGGAGATCATGGGATGCTGGGACCCTGTGTGTCAGTGTGCTGTGTGTCTGGACGCTGGTGTCATCGTGTCTCTGTGTGTTGGTGCCTGTGTGTCCAGACTGCAGGGCTCGGTTTATGCCTCTGTGTTAGTATTTGTGTCTCGTTGCTGTGTGGGTATGTGTGGGGGCATGTGCTGTGACATGTGTTTCTTATGTCAGGGCTTTCACTTGTGTAGGGGGCTAAATGGGGATCCCCAAAAGATAGTCACTTCAGATCCCTGGAACCTATGAATGGGACCTCATTCGGAATAAAGGTTTTGCAGACGTGATTAAGTTAAGGGTCTTGAAATGAACAGATCATCCTGGATGATCCAGGTGGGCCCTATGTCCAGTGACAAGTGTCCTTGTAGGAGGGAGATTTGGCAGAGATTTGGAGATTTAGGCAGAGGTGATGTAACCCTGGAATCCAGAATGGAGTGGTGTGTCCATGAGCCCAGGAATCCCCCCAGGGCAGCCCCCAGAAGCTGGAGAGACGAGGAAGGGTTCTTTCCTGAGCCCAGGAAGGAGTGCTGCCCTGCTGGATTCCAGACTTGTGGCCTGTAGAACAGTGAGAAAGCTCGTTTCTGTTGTGTTAAGCCTCCCTGTCGTGGTCATCTGTTACAACAGCCCCAGGAACCTAGAACACCTGTGTCCCTGCCTCTGGGTGCAGCCCATGGGGCAGCTGGGGCCAGCAGGGGCCTGGGGTACACAGGCGCCCCACCAGGATGGGACACCACTGCCCCCTGGTGGCCCCAGCTGGAGGCAGCTGGCCCAGGCGCCCCCTCCTCCCAGGCGCAGGCCCCACTCAAGGCTCTGAGCATACCCCACATGCCTGGGTGGCCAGAGTCAGACACCGCACTCGCGGCACTTGAGAACCAAGTTTATTTCTGATTTTTTTGTCAGAATATAAAAAAGCGCAAATCAAGGAAGATGAGACAGGAACACAGCGGGGCTGAGAGTCCAAGACAGGGAGGGAAAAGGGGAGAGAGACAGGAAGGGCTCCCTGGAAAGGGTCATGTCGTGATGGCATGAGGTGGCCAGGGATATTCAGGGCAGCCGGGCAGGATGAGGGGCTTCCCATGGGGAGGCGCACGGGATGGGGGGCACCAGGCCAGTTGTTCAAATTCCACATGGGACCTGCAACAACCAACCTCCCATCCTGAGGCTGGCACAGGGCACGGATTGGGATCTGGTGGCTCAGCCTCGTCTGTCTCCAAGATTTTCAGAATCCCCTAGGGGATTGAGTGGGCAGGGGTGCAAGAGGGTGGGGCTGCCAGGACTGCCCTAGCTCCCCCTCTGCTGGGCCCACGGAGTGGTTGCTCAGGTGCTGGCTGGGTCTCCACTGGGTGGGCATGGGGGATGCAGCTGTCAGAACAGTTCTTGTGTGGATCTGGGTTCTCCTGGGAAAGGGGCAGTGGGAACGCCCACCCATGACTAAGCCTGGAAGGCAGTCTCCATGACCCTGGGAGGAGGGAGCCGTCCCCCAACCTAAGGCCAGGACACAGGTGAGCCTGGTGCTGGGCACTGGGCGTGGGGTCCTCCTGGGGGTCAGGTCTTGGGCGTGTGTCCCAGTCCCCGTGAGTAGATGGGGGCGTGGTAAGGGTTTCAAAAATGAGTGAGAGCCCTTGGCACGGTGGCTGGCTGGGCTGGGCCAATGACCATTCTCTGGGCAAGGACAGGGGAGGGCCACACACCAAAGGGAGCCTTGGCAGTTTACCCCACCTGTGTGGGCAGTCCTCTAGGGGCTGGGGGAGGGCGTAAATGGGGCGAGGGGGCAGACCTCTGGCCCTGGGCGAGGGCAGGATGCCTAGAAGACGCGTGACTCAGCAGGCGATGGAGGGTGCGGGCGAAGGGAATATAAATAAACAGACTCCTTGGGAGGCTGGGGGTGTCCAAACCGGCTCTGGCTCCAGGTGGCTGCCCTGCATGCTGCCAGCAGCACCAGGGGGTGGGCCTGGGCTCAGGTCCTGGGAGGAAGGGCCCCACTCAAGCAGCCCCTGCCTGCCCGCCCGCCCACTCCCAGGCACTGCCCGGAGTGCACAACCAGAGGTGGCTGGAGGTGGCGACGCTCGTCCCACCTGTCCATGGGGCTGGGCTTGGCCCCTGGGGCGTCACGCGGGGTCTGAGAGGGGCTGCACGGCCAGCTCTGCCTCGTGCTCGTCAGGGGCTCCGGTCACAGTGCTGAGGTCCGGCGTTCAAGCCTAGGCAGCAGCTAGGACATGTTTCCGAAGGAAGCTGTGGGACGAATGGGGGTGAGGAGGGTCGGGGGCCTCTGGCATCATCCCCTCTTGCCCCGGGTGCAGGACGGCCCTTACTGGGGTCCCCGGCCACCCTCGGCCACCCTCCTGAGGTCAACCCACCCACCCTGCACTCTGGCGCCTCGAGGCCCAGCCCCCCCAGGCCTTTCTGAACCTGTGGGCCTTCCTGGCTCCTCCCACTGACCCTGGCTGAGCAGCTGCAGGCTCCGCCCCTCCTCGCGCACCCGCAGGCGCAGAAGCTGCTGCAGGACCTCCTGCCGCTGCGCCTCCTGCGCTAGCCCCATCCGCCGCAGCTTCTCCGCGTTCAGCCGCAGCAGTGCCCGGCCTGGGAGGGAGGGGAGAGAGGCTGAGCCGAGGTTGCCATCCGAGGGGTTTCGAGAGCAAAGGCGGAGAGAGAGAAGGGAGAGAGAGGAAGAAATGGGTCGGGTGGGCAGAGACAGACGTGCAGAGAGAGACTCAGAGAGACAGGGCGAGAGAGGGAGAGAGGCGGAGGGAGGGCAAGGAGGAATGGTGGCTGAGCAGGGCAAAGCCAGGCGACGACGGAAACAGAGACAAAGCCCCAGACGGGAGAGGCCGACTGGGGAGGAAGCAGAAGAGAGAGAGGAGGGGGAGAAGGCTCTCCGGGGAGCCCGCCCCTGCCACACCCCAGCCCCCCAGCCCCCCACGGCACCGGTGATGGCGTGCTGGGAGAAGGCCTCCACGTAGACGAGGTAGTTGTGGGGACAGTGCTTCTTGAGCCACTTGCAGACGTCCTGCTGACTCCACAGGACCACGGGCCTCGTCAGGCCACCCAGGGAGGGGCTTGTGTGGTACAGGCCATCGTGGTCAGAGTACAGCCGGCCCTGTGGGAAGAGGGGTGGCCGGTGGAGTGGGGTGGCAAGGAGGGCAGGGGCTGAGGTGGGTGTAGTGTGTGGGTGGGTACCTGGGGGGCCTCGGTGCCGGGCTGCTGAAGGAGCTTGACCTGCCGGCTGCCAGCTGCCCTCTGGCTGCGGGAGTCGTGCCACGTGAGGCTGGTGCCCGGGGTCCGAGGCAGGGGGCAGGGGATGCTCTCGGCCGACACCGTGTGCTCCAGGAGGGTCCGGCAGAAGCTGAAGTGGGCAGTGGCTGCAAAGCAGGGGTGCCTGGTCACGGCGGTCAGGGGCAGGGGCTCCCTCCCTGTGATCCGGCTTCCTGCTCAG